CAAAATTGAATTCTCAGAATCTGAATACGACCACCAAGAAGGACATGAATTTACCAAAATACTAATATTACATGTTTTTGGGTTTTACAGCAACCATCTTGAAGCATAAGACCATTGAACTGAAATGTACAATAGGTGTGAAAAATTTTGGCTGCGTTGCGAAGGACAGGGACACGGCTACCTGACGGATCCGATTCTCAAGCTGCTTTTTCCCTCAGGCTCTTCCGGAGAAGTTTCGTCTTTGATTCAACGTACAGTGTACACAAGATTGTACGCACAATACACTCACTACGCAACGTAACACTAAGAACAACGACCTTTAACATCGTTTTCTTTCTTATAAAATAAATATCATTTTCTTCTCATCTACTCGTCTACAGTCCATATTGGAGGCCATCTTTCTATTTGTGTTAGCAAAAGCGTCCACCAGCAAAGAAGTGCTTCAAAGCCAGCACAGCTAAACAACAAAAGCAGCCAACCCCGCGAAAAACACTAAAACACTTTAAAAAAAGCCTGGAGACCCATTGTTTTACAAGGGGGAATAAAAAAATAAAAAAAAAACTTTAAGGATGAATTCAACTTACAAGAGGCTTTGTAGCTTCAAAGATCCAAATGGGGTCACTCTTTTTGTGCTTATGACTCGTGCTAGATATACTAGCAACCAAGTCTGAGAATCAAAGGAGATTTGATGCTACACGGTAATTGCAGCACAGAGTCGTGTGCTTGCCTGCCATTGTCCGGTGAATTGGGGCCCGGCATTCTCCTCTTTTCCTCTCCTCACTTGCAAACAAGCATCATTGTTTCGTCACCCCTCCTCCACATATATTTCAAGTTTAATCGCCGTATCTTTCTCTCCAAATTCGAAGAGGAGAGAGCATTCAAGCTTTTGTGTGGGTGTGTGTGTCGTGTGTGTTTGTGTGACCCTACCACCATCGCCCAGGAAATTCTAAGAAAATGCTTGAAAGATTCACATATCATAAGGGGAGGTTTAAACTTCGCAATATAAACATACACTTAGATGGAGCCAAGCTAGTCTAGGCAGCTACGAAACGATGGGGTTTGTTTATACAAGACTCAAAACACTGGGACCCCTTTGCCCCCCCGGAAAAACCATTTTGTTTAGTGGATCCATCCATCCCTTCCCGCCATCTCCATCCAAGGAACTAAAAGATTTATCTTTAGACAAGGAAGAAGAATTGTTGCTATCCTATCGAGTAAGGTGGCAATTACAAAAGGAAAAATGGAAGAAAAGAAAAAGGGGAGAATACGATACAAAAGGTGACGAAGACGAAGAGGCCGAAGAAGCATTTTTAAAATTCCTAATGTTTAAATTCTATTAATTTATATGTATACAATTTTTTTGGACATTGAGGAAGAAGGGAGGGTGGTGCTCATGGGTCACGTCAATTTTTGAGCACGACTATGGGTCCACCCTGTCTGATTCCTCTTTGTCCATCTCATCTCAAGAGTGGCCCAGCTAAAGGGGGGAAAAAAAAAAGGTGGCTTAATCGCGGATTAAGCCGGGCGATTAAGCGAGAGAGCATCTTGGAAGGAATTTGGACTATATAGTGCGGGGCGGGCGTCCACGTTTTTCATTCCGGCTAAAGACACAGAATGCAACGCGGTGCGAGAAGCGTACACCATTTCTCGCTCTTTTTCTTTGCTCGGAGCATCTCTCAGCGCTTTGGCGTTTTACTTGACCAAACAGGAGCTCACGGATTCTACTAGTGACTTCTCACAGACGTACACGTATACACTGCACCGAAAAAAAGACAATTGAAAGCGAAGATAGAATTCAAGCGCTTACCTTTCGATCGATCTTACTTTGGTCTTAAATTCCGAGTGTGGTGAGCTCTTCTTCGGTTGCAAGCGTGTGCCACCGCTGTGACAAGATCGAGAGATCAAATTCCGAGAGAGCTACTGTAGAGAGCCACAGTACCTTGTTTGTGTCGACACCGGATAGAGATATATAGAGGCCGGCCCGAGAGGCTGATCAACAGTGGTGCCAAATATTTGGAGTGATACGCTTGCTTGCCAATGCCGGCCCCCCATATACCCGTCCATGTCCGCTTGGATCTGGCAATCATTCATGAACAGTGAGTAGCTATATAGCGAAGTCACAAAACGAAACGCAACTGGAAGCACCTCGTAGCAGCGAGCAAGTAAGCAAAGCAAAGAGAATTTAAAGAGAAAGGAGCAAAAAAAAAAAAAAAAGGAAGAAAAAGAGAGAGAGAGAGAGAGAGAAGAACTTACCAGTCTGTTGGCCTCCAGTTGGTACTGTATCTCCTGCACAGGGGAATTTTTCTTCGCGTCCGGTCACTATAGCGTCGTCACGACTTTGATCGGTAGAAAGCGGCATGTAGACGCTTCCCTCCTGGATTTTTCCGCGAGCTCGAAAATACCACCCGCGGCTCAAATCAATCAATCCCCTTCCTCACTACTGTAGCTCCTCACTCGAATGTCCTCCAGTGGCGAGAGTCGAGCCAGAAATCTGCTACTTGCACGGGAGTGTGTACACAGCACTTCTCTTTCCTCCTGAGTGGTGGTAGATCTCCGAGTTTCTCTTTTCCCCCTCCTTCTCTTCCTTGAGTCGTCCAATTCTTTTTCGTTCGTGTCAGTTCAGGTGTGCGTTCTGAGAGCAACCAGCCAGCCTCCAAGTGTCTCGCACTGTTCCAATAGCCTCCTTTCCTTCAAAATTTTTCCCCCTTTCTCCTGTGTGCTGTGTGTGAGTATATATATACTCGGCCTGCTCCTTAGCTCACGGAAGCTCTCGTCCTCAATTAAGTACCACTGTCATTTTTCCTCCTCATCCTTCTCTGCCTGCTGCTTCTCGCTTTTAATTTTCTTTTTTCTGTTCCTCCAGGACTGTGGTCCTGTGCCATGGCGGCTGCTGCTGCTGCTGCTTGCTTCTCCTGTTTAGATCTCCTCCAAGAGCTCCTCATTGGCTGACAGTGCTCCCAGGTTTCACTGCTCTGGCTTCTTAACAACTGATCTCCCGGCTTCCCCTTTGCTCGTTGTCCATCCTCGAACGCATCATTGGTTTGTTGGCTTGCGCGCAGCTTTTCATCTCATCTCGGTATACAGGATCGCGGATTCGAAACAGTTTGGTTGCAGTCGCCCCTCGAGCACACTAACTTTGTGTGCCAGGATCCACTCCAACACCACCGTCTGTCTGTGGCTGTCTTGTCTGTGCGGCTGCAGTCTAGCGGTAGCTTGCGAAGCAAGAAACGTGGACAAAGAGAGAATTGGTCTTGCAGCTTTGGTACTTGTCGATCGGCAATGAGCGGTCTAATCCCTATTCACGGAGGAGACGCGTCGCCTATCGCTGGAAGTGGCAGCAGTAGAGCTTCCCCATCGTCTGGAGATGGAGGAGCCGGCGGCGGAGCAGCAGCAGCAGCAGGAGCTGGGGAGGGGTCGGCAACAGCACCACCATCCAGGTATGAAGCTCAGAAGCGGCGGGACTGGAACACCTTCGGCCAGTATCTGAGGAACCACAGGCCCCCTCTCACTCTCCCTCGCTGCAGTGGAGCAAACGTCCTCGAGTTCCTGCGCTACCTGGACCAGTTTGGCAAGACCAAGATCCACGCGCCGGCCTGTCCCTTCTTCGGCATCGCCCATCCACCAGCGCCTTGCGCCTGCCCGCTGCGTCAAGCCTGGGGAAGCCTGGACGCTCTCATCGGCCGGCTCCGAGCAGCATTCGAGGAGCACGGTGGCAAGCCGGAATCCAATCCGTTTGGAGCTCGCGCCGTCCGCCTCTACCTGCGAGAAGTTCGTGAGATGCAGGCCAAAGCTCGCGGCATCGCTTACGAGAAGAAGAAGCGCAAGCGTCCGTCGAGCAACAACACCGGGGCTGCAAACGCCGGCACCAGCAGCACCAGCAACAACAGCAGCAGCAGCATCACCAACAACAGCTCCGGCAGCAGCTCCACTCCCACCTCGGCATCGCCCACCGCGCATCATGCTCACGCTGTTCACGCTCAAGTCCAAGCCCAGGCTCACGCTCACGCTCACGCTCATGCGCAAGCTCAAGCCCACGCCCAGCAACAGGCCGTCCACAACCTCCACCAGCAGCACCACGTCCTTCAGCAGTCCCTGCCTCTCATCCAGCACCAGCAGCTCCAACACCATCACCCTCAGCAGCAATTCCTTCCTCAGGGACTTCAGCCTGGTGCCAACTGCTTGCAGATCCACAACTGAGAAGAGGAAGAGGTGAGCACATCACTTTCCTTTCAATCTTTCTTCCTTTTCCTGCAAAAGAACACCACATATCTTAGCTCAGCCATTCGTGTCAAGTCAGTGACTTACTTGTTCATCTCTTGCACAGATAGCTGGCTTTTCTCGTCATTGTCCAATACATTCGATTCCGGATTATCTCGAGAAAGATCACTCTGCCAGTACGAGTTCCTGCACTTCCAGAAGCAGCACCTGCACCAGCAGCGCTACGAGATGTGCAGGAAGTACACAATATACATATACATACTACGCATGGTCAGTCTCGTAAAGTTCCTTCCAGTGTGAGTTCTTTCCGCTCCGATCTCTAGCTAGATGCTGTAATTAGCTTCAAAAAGGATGAAGACTTTTACTGCAAGTTCGTCCGAGTCTGATAGCTAGTAGATTTTCAATCACTCTTTTGAAATCCCTGCAAAAAATGATCCCGTTGGATGCAAAGTTTCGAGCTGGTTGCAAGTGTAGAAAGGATACCTGTGCTGCGCGAAGGCTAGAAATTGCTGGCAGCAGGATCAAAAAAAAGAAAAAAGGACAAAAAAAAAAAAAAGAAGATAAAAGATAAAAAGGATTTATGCATTACTAGAACAAACTTCATGAGGAGAAGAACCTGAGCGTATGATTATCATATATTGCGCCGCAGCATTGTCTCCTCGAGTACAGGTGATTATAATCCAGCCGGGAGGCAGCCTGTTTCTCATCCAGCACACGTTAGTTTTACAACAACACGACGACGCTAGATCTGCTCTGACACAAGTCCTAAGCCAGCCAGCGAGTGAGAGAAATCTCTTTTCAGGAGAGAAAGGGAAGTCCCATTTCTTTTTAAGTTCCAGCAACTGCACAGCGCGAGGGTGGCAGCAGCGTGTGTTATTTACAGGAAGAGCCGACGCCGCTTTCTTCCAGCTTTTCATCATCTACAGCTCCTGAGCTAGCAAAAGGGAAGAAAAACGAGAGTAGTAGTACACAGGCAATGCGACAGGCGTACCTGTCTAACCATAGCAGCGGATAGGATCGTTGCAGCCCTTTTCAGCTGACTGCCTGAAGCCAGATCTGCCACCCTTGGCCAAGTATTGCTGGTGGTACTCTTCGGCGCGATAAAACTTTGTAGCTGGCAAGATTTCCGTCACGATCTTCCTCTTGATCTTTTCCTCGTGCTTTTGCATGGACTCTCGGGCGGCTTTCTCCTGTTCCGGGTGGTAGAAGTAGATTCCCGACCTGTACTGGGTGCCAACATCGTTCCCCTGGAAGATGTCAAACCAACCAACCTTAAGCTTTTAGCTACAAAAGAGATCTCTACAAGAGAAATAGGAACAGCTACGTAGCAGCATACTACTGTATACTCTTGCAAAGAACAAGGACATATTTTAAAGGCTAGAAAAGAAGCAGAACAAGAACAAGGAGGAAAAGGCTAGAGGGATGGAACAAAGCTAGCAAAATTCTTCTGCAAGGAATATAATAATTTGGAAGAGAGCTCTTACCTGACGATTCAAAGTGGTCGGATCGTGGCGGTCCCAGAAAACATCCAGCAGCGAGGAGAAGCTCGTCTCCTTTGGATTGTATTGCACTCTCACCACCTCCGAGTGCCCGGTATCGCCATTGCAAACGTCCTCGTACGAGGGATTGTGCACAGTGCCCTGGGAATAGCCTACCTCTGTTTTCGTCACGCCCGGGATTCTCTGGAATGCGAGCTCCACACCCCAGAAGCATCCGGCGCCAAATTGCGCGAATTCTTGCCCGGGCGCAGGCGCGTCGTCGTCCGGCCCCTGCGCGATCTTGGCGCCTTCCGGATCGCGAACCCTGGCAGTCGCGCGCCCTACTCCCAGCTTGGACAGCCATCCCCCAAGATTTGCCATCGGCGACGCGACGCTGCGGCTCGACCTGACGGAGAATCCGAGCGCCCTGTTGTGGATCCTCGCGGATGGAGCGGCAATCGGTGGGAGAATGTGGGCGCAGCCGTGCCCCAGGACGCCGAGAACGCTCGCCCCAGACATGATAAACCCTAAGAAATATCCATAAAAGTATATCCAGTGTTTGAAAACGAATATTCACCCTGGTCTTGGCGGGAGAGAGCACCCTCCAAATACCGGAGTCTCGCTCTTCTCCACAAGTTTTTGGAAATTCGCTCTACGCTTTGCTCGTTGCGTGACAATCTCCTCGTTCGCTTTCCTGCTCTTCCTGATCTTCGAATTCTTTTTCTCGTCGATTGGAACGAGAGCATTGCTTCGCTGCTTCTTGCTCTTGGGATCTTCAAAGCTTCGCAAGCGTTCTTCGTCCTCCGGTGGAAGTTTTCCCAGGAGCTTCTTCAGCTGTCCCATGCAATCTCCAAGCCGGACTTTGGTGAGCTTTCCTCCCCCCCACATGAGCAGCTTCTTCTTCTCGGCGTTGTCTGGATTTGCGAGCCATGCCACCGCCTCGGCGCAAGCATTCCTCTCAGCTTGCCTCTTAAGCCTGTCCGGCTCACCGATAAACTTGAGGCCTCGGAACTGGATCGTGGAGACGTGCTGCTTTGCTCGGTTTAGCTTCGTGGACACGGACGGCCTTCTAGTCAGGCCCTCCCGAAGGAGAGCTACTCGGAGTGCTACTTTGGAGTCCTTGTCGCCGATGAGACCATCGAAAGTACCTACGTCTGTTCTCTTCCCATACATGAACTTGCCGGCAAGAGCGTCGCCTCTGATCATGAGCATCACTGCTCGCATGAGCAGACCATCTCGGTGTTTGTAGATGTCGAGGTCGGGCCTTGCTAGCTGCAGAGAAGAAGTTTTATAGCCGAAAGACTAAAGTTGAGAAAGACGTGGTACCTTTAGCTTCAGAAGCTCATCCAAAAGATCTCGCATTTCCTGGAATAATTCGGCCTCGCTTTCACCCATGAAGAACTCCAAGCACTTCCCACACATTTGCAAATGTCCTGGCTGTTAGCAGCAACGGGATTAGCACCAAAGGAAGAGAAACAAAGCTTAAAGTCGTCACCTGGCCTATCGACACCAACGCTCCCCCGAACAAAAGTAGCACCGAGTCCGATATACCCGTTGAGTCTCGAATGAACACGTTAGATGTCTTTATCTTCTCAAGGAACACCAGCCATGGAAAGCAGCTTTCCTCGTGCCTTGCATTCACTGAGTGCTGCATAAATCCGTGTATAATGTCAGCTGAAACTTTGCAAAGACAAGCGAGACTTACTGGATGAACGTGCACTACAGTCCCGTCCATTGTCTTGTGGGTCACTGATCCAGGAGTTGCCTGTGAACGAACGAAGAAATCAACACAAATGGACATTTCGAGAGCAAACATACTTACCACAACAGCTGCAACTCCCGGGAACAAACCAGCGCAAATCACAGCTCGGACAATCATTGGATCAGATGAATAAGCTTCGCAACTCGCCAAGCCGCCGTCGAGATAACCGGCTTCCTGCAATAGTGATAGGAATTGCTTTCTCATGGAAGTCATTCCTATCAACACTTGCATGGAAAGAAAATTTGCACGGCAGAACTCCGATGCCGTATTGTGCTTCATGCACACTTCCCAGTCGTTGAATGCTCGAACAACCGCGAGGTGGTCACTCATTTCTCCTATGGAAAACTTGAACTTGGCTTGATTGGAATCCTGACAACTCAACTTTCTTAGTAATGTGCTTTGTACTAAAATCAATCCAGCACAAACCTCTCGCTTGTCCACGGGAAGAATAAATGGATCCCGGGACGAAAGTGCAGCAGCAATAGTAAGCATGGGATCAAGGCATTGAAAAATACACCCCATGATCAACATTTTTCCAATCTGCGGTTCAACTGGAAGTATTGCTAGATGTTTTCCTGGACGAATCCAATCAATACCATAAGTTGATTAAAAAAAAAAGACTTACCAAGAACCGTCAGCTCTTCTGTTTCATCCAATGCACCAATCACCTTCAAGAACTCTATGGCGATGTGCACTGCGTGTCGGTTGGGAGGCTCTATAGCTTTTGCCAAGAACGTCTGGATATCTCCAAGTTGCAATCCCTTAATCCTGAGGCATACGTTGTGTAGAGCTGTTCTCAATATCTCAGGTTCATTGTGGTCCTCAAACGCTTGAAAAACGGATTCTGGATAGAGATGGTAACAAACACCTGGTTTCAAACGCCCAGCTCTGCCTTTCCTCTGCCACCAAAACCACACAAGTGTATGTCAAAGAAAAGATGTTTTACACTCCCTCCTATTTACCTGGCGCACAGACGACTTGGAAATCCATCTTGGCAGCAAACATGCAGTGTTTGTTGCAACATCATAGCTCTTCTCTTTGGCTTTTCCTATATCGACAACGTACACAACGTCCTCAACCGTGATGCTAGTTTCGGCAATGTTTGTTGCCAGGATGATCTTCCGTACACGTGAAGGTGGACGATCAAAAATTCTCTTCTGCAAAACTTCGAAGTGTTAAAACCAGCACGTAGTTGAGAAGATAAATAGATCACTAACCTGTTCGTCGGGCGACATGGTTCCATGGCACGCAAGAAGCCACACTCGGCTAGGATGGCCTAGCACAGGATGGGTTCTTAGCTGACGCCTCAAAGCAGAAATATCTTCCCAGCCAGTCATAAAAACCAGCACCGCACCTTCTTGGCCATGCTCGCAGATGTGACAGAGTAGCTTCTCTATCAAGGTGAAATCGATACTTTCTTCTCCAGCATTGCTGTAATCTTCAGCATTAAGAGCTTCTCTGACGATATTCTCCTCTGAAATATGAGCCCGCAGATCGGAGGCTTCAGGCGCTTGCCGTAGATACTTCCACATTCTTGACTGCATGCTCAATTTGTATCCTGTTATGTTCAAAACGTCTTCTAAATAGTAAGATTTCACAGTGTATGCAAATCCCTGAAACAGTGATACGGAAGTCAAGTAAACAAAAACAATACACTATTTACCGGTATATCCATGCAACGAGTATTCAAATCCAAGAAATACTTCTCAAAAAGCTTAGCGTCCACAGTAGCGCTCATAAGAATGAGTTTCAAATCGGGACGGCGCTGGATGACATCTCTTAAAACAATAAGAAGAAAATCTAGAAAGGACAAGGAAGTTTACAATCTGAAAAAGAAAAACAAAGAAGGTAAAGCTAACCTTCGTTTAAACCCCGCTCATGTATCTCGTCGACAATTACGTGCGTCACTCCGTTCAAAACTGGATCAGACATCAGCCGCCTTAGCAATATACCCGTGGTGCAAAACAGTAGGCTCGTAGACCGGCTTCTCACTGAGTCGAACCGCACCTGATATCCTACCTGTGGATACAGAAGTATGTGTAAGGAAAACGCTCTACAGATCTTATAAACTTACAGATTCACCAAGAACTTCACCGCGTTCTTCCGCCACTCTCAAAGCGACAGAGGAAGCTGAGATACGCCTGGGCTGGGTGCAAACAATCTTACACGACGAACCGCATCCACCATCAATCTCAGATTCAAGTATATATTGTGGAAGTTGTGTTGTTTTGCCACAGCCAGTTCCTCCAGTTACCACCAGAACCTGTCCAAGAACTAGTATGAAAAGTTTCAACAAACATTTCATGTTTTAGATCATCGCTCCAGTACCTGACAACGGGACAGTGACTCGAGGAATGCAGACCTTAACTGGAACGCTGGAAGTTTACTACGAAACCCAAGAGCTATTTGTCCCTCTCGAGAGTCCTGAATATCATCAGAGTTGAGTGAAAAACAAACAAAACTATTTTTGAGGCTGCACCTGCCATGCGCGTTGTCTATCAAACATGAGCTTGCTCTTTTTCGCATCGCCAAAAATGCCAGCTAGCGGATCATAAACATCCGGAAGAGACTGAGGGGGTTGTTCTGTAGCAACGATTGGAAAAAGCTCCACCTTGGCTTCCTTCTCTTTCCTGTGCCGTTTATACTCGTCTAGAAACGCTTTAACCCTGAAAAACGTGGCTGGTGCAACATAAACCTGGAAGTGAAAGAAGATAATTCCAAAAAAGATGAAGCTGAAGATCCGAACCTGTCGTTGCGGACGATCCGGATCCAAGTCCGGTCTATACAATGGTAGAGGAAGCTTACTGACAACGATGGTTTTCCAGTAGAGATTACTGCAAAGAACAAGAAAATCCACAGAGAATTTTTTTCAAAGACCAGAGTGAAAAAGATCGATCGATCGAAGCTTACTTACATGTAGAGACCAAGCTCTTTGGCAATGTAGCTTATAGCATTGTAGCACTTGAGATCTTTACTTTCCATGGACATTATCTCGTTCTTGGAAGACTGAAGAAGCAAAGACATTCTTCGTCTCCATCTCTCAATGTACGTGCTTGTGACCTCCTGTTAAACAGAGAACAAACGATTCCATGCTTTTTTTTATGGAATTCTACCACGAACTGACCTTCTGCAAGTAATTGAGAAACTCGTCCTCGTCGTCGCTCTCCTCCAGCCCCATCTTGAGCTCATACAGCCGATAGCTCTTGCGGACGCCGAGTTGCATGAGATGGGGGCGAATCCTGTTGTGATACTTGTGCCTGACAAATGCGACGCGGGACACGATCGACTGCAATGCAGGCGCCTGCCATGGCAGCTGCGATGATCCATCAATGGGAAGAAACGATCGAGAATGGAGCAGCAGACGATCAAGCGCCGCCCTCGTCCTCAACATCAGGCATTTCTCCTAGGGTTTAAGAAAAAAGAATATGCTCAAATAATCTTTGAAATTTTTTTGCCTAGCTAACTGGGTTGGGTGGCTTTCCAGGGAATTTCACAAGCTTCATACATATCCTGGAAATCAAAATGGATCGATTTTAAGAACCAGCGCTCGTGATAGCTAAAATTCTGTTACCTCAAATTTTGCCAACTCGAAACTTCGGTGTGGTGTGAGAGATGGATGATCAATCAATCAATCCCACATTAAAGCCTGGAAACGAAAAGGAAGAGAATCAGTCCTGCAACTAGTAAAAGAAGAAACAAAAGCGAAGTACCATTTCGAAAGATTGCGTGATGCCTTGCTTGCTCGCTTGATTGCTTGCAGCGGCCTCGCAAGTTTTGGCTTGTGGCTTCTGTGGAGTCACCACGAACACCGTGAGAGTTGCAGCGCACTGGCGTGACGAAGAGCTATAACAGTGTAGCTCCTCGAGAGATTCCCTGCTCCGTCCTCAGCATTGAGCCGACGCATCGATCGAGTCTATCTTCTTCGTTGGACACCGACGGAAGCAGGGAAGGCCTGGTCATTTAATGGCGACGAGCCTGTGTAGAACCAGCTTCAGGCTGGAAAGAATCGGCGATTGTTAGAAAAACAAAGTTACTAGAACGAGCAACGAGATTTAGACTTGCCTGAGAAACTTGCGAAGAGTAGTGATAGGCCATAGAAGGCCGAGGATATGGGTACTGCGACATATAAGTCGCCATGTTGGTGTGTGGAGACACCCGCGGTGGCGGAGGATTAAACGGTGCCGGGGCTCGCATCATATCCTGGTGTTGTTGGTATGCGTGCCTCCAGCCCGATTGACTGGTTACTTGCGGTGGCATTTGCCTTACAGGAGGACAGCCAAGCTGGGGAAACTCTGTGTTATAATTCACAACAGGAGTATACCGAGCTTGCATACCAAAGGCTGGTGGCTGGTTTAGTCCAAAACCTGGATCAAACCGCTGTGAATACCTGCAAATGCAAAGAAAGGCATCAACGAAGGTTGTAACCTCGGCTAAGAACTTATACCTGTCATAGTTCCGATCGTAATCGGGATCTTTGCGATCTTTCTCTCGGTCACGGAATATAGCAACCTTTTGCCTCGACTTGCTGGATTGATCTTTGTCTGCTTTGCTGCCGCTGCCACCGCTGCTGCTGCTGCTGCTGCTGCAGCTATTACTGCCAGATCCGGCGTTCATCCGCTGCCTTCCCTGCTCGGGGGTTGAAGCGCTCTCTCTTACTTCTATCACCTTTGCAGTTTTCCTCTTCTCTACTTCCAGCAGCTCGTCATAAGCTCTCTGTTCCTGCTCATGCCGAAAAATCCTGGCTCGGGCCTTGTTATACTCCTCGTTCCGTTCCTCCATACTCTTGGAGGCATTGCTTCCGGATCCACTAGCAGCCCCGCTGCTATCTCCACCGGATATAAAACTAGCCTGTGGTCTCTGCTTGATCACAAACTTGGTGTTGGAGTTGCTGCCACCATCCGCGGCAACAGGAATGTCCGCGAGCCTGATCGAGGGAAACTTATTCTCCCCACTCTTCCGGACTATGATCCTGCATCCTTCCACGTTGCTGTCAATCACCGAAGTTATAAGGTAGTAGTGTTGCGCTACCCTGTGAACTGCTAGGCGCAAGTAGGACGACGCCATAGGAGGGAACTCAAGCTGAAACTGCTTTGGATTTCTTACGAATCTCTCCACGTCGTGTTCTAGCCTTAGAACTGGAAAAGAAAACACAATTATTGGTACTAGGAAAGAAGAAAATGCCAAAAACAGACTTACTAGTCATACGGTCGTGAGGATTCTGGAGCGCCTCACGCAAGAACTCGTCAATTTGTGCCGAATCATCGTCGCCGCCGCCACTCTCTTTGTGGAGGCCAAGACTGCAACCAGCGGGCACAAGCCGCTTCATACTCTCCTCCAGATCGGCCAGTTCCCAAGAATCCGGGCAAGCATCCTCATTCTCCTCGCTCCTGAGCTCCATTGGTGGGTTCATTCCGGCCATCACAATGGGATCCTCTTGCGGCAAGGCAGCAGCTTCATCGAGAATTCAAGCTCCCAGCCGCGGAATACAAACCCCTAGGCCGTAGCATTTCCTGGATCGCTGGAAACCGGGGCGCTGGCAAACTAGGGAAGCGAGATTCTCACCAGATCTGGCGCCGTGACGGTAGAAGCAGCGCGCACGAATGGAGAGAAGCGGCGCACCCGCACGCCATAGCCGCGACCGCACACAAACAAGCTGATCAGGTTAAATTTTTTTCCCTTACTCTTTGGTCCCATCGCCACCGTTCGCGACTGGACGGCGGGAGATCTGTCTGAGGCAGCCCCTTATCGTGACCGTCCATCTTTCACCATTCGAAATTTAGGGTTTCGCGTGGCTGTGGGCATTGCATTCATTTCCCACCAGAAAAACAAGCGAAGATCTCATTTCCTTTTTTCGCATCGCCACTCCTTCAATTCGATCCAGTCTGATCGCTCCAGCGTTCTGTTGGTCATTGAATTTGATCGGGTAAAAGTCCGCCACGAAATCAAACGAGTAGAATGAAACAAGATGGTTTTCTCCGTTTATTCTTTTACAATCACCACACACAGCGGCTTTCCGCGATCCAGAAACATAGCGAGCAAGGGAGAAATCCTGCGAGCGCGAGCGCGCGCGGAGGGGAATCGATCGAAGCGATGCGAACTATGTATACGGATGGATGGGTGGATGGATGGAATGGGAAGAGGATTGATTTTGGGGGCGCATTTCTTCACAAATCGATCGGATGGATGGATGGATGGATGGATGGATCAGTCACGCGCGCACTCGGCAGGTCTGGAGGGGAATCTGGCCGAATCCGTGCAGTAGTTGTAGATCATGTAGTTCTTCTTGACCCATTTGAGCTTGCCTGCGTCGCTGGGGCTGAGAGCTTGCCAGGCGGACGAGTCCCACCATTTGCCGCTGTTTGGGCCGCACGATCCCGACGATGCCTGACACGCGTCAAGATCAAAGTTCTTGTAGGAGGCGATGAAGGGGGCGTGGCTCCAGTCGGTCTTGACGAGTCCACCCCTGGTCGCCCAGTCGTCGGCGTTCCACAGGCTCGAGTAGACTCCCATTGACTGCTTCGTGGGGAAAGGCAGGCCCATGTCCTGGTTGTTCTTAAACACGCGAATGGGGGTGGAATCCACGAAGAATCTGCAAAGACAAAGCCCACGATCAATCAGTCTTTCTAGCTAGCTTGCACCAAGCAAAGGAATCCCAAAAGAATCGCAAGAACATTGAGCACAAACAGTGATCCAGAGGACCCAGGAAAGAATAGGAAACAGTGGGTCGATCGAACAAGAAATTTGCGGTGATGGGCGATACCACATTGCTCGATGGATCCAAAGAAGTTTGAAAGAACTCGCCAAGAAAACAGAGCACGGAGAGATGGGTGGATCGAAAGGGAGAGAATCGGAGGAAATGGGCGAGATGGGTGTGATCACGTACACGATCTGCTTCTGGTTCCAGAGGATCGAGTACGAGTGGAAGTCGGCAGTGGGATCAAACCAGAGGTAGACTCGCTGCTCGCGGTTGCCGACGCCATTGGCGTAGACGTTGGTCTGGAGGATGTATGGATTGCCCGACGTGTTGCCCAGAAACTCGAGATCGATCTCGTCGCGGGTCCTGTAATCGTCCGAGGACATCTGTCACAAGCAACTCCACGGTCAGAAATGCGGAAGAAATGGCGATGGATAGGCGCGAGTTTGGGAGATTTACGTAGTAGGCTGCCACAGTTCCAGCAGAATCACCGGGAACAAGCTTGATTTGCATGCTCACTCTGCCGAAGAGATACTTGTTCTTGGACGCGAAGCCAGCAGCTGTGGAAGAGAAGGAATCAAACACCCAAAGCCCGAGAGAGCGTGAGCATTGCAATGCGATCGATCCAGGCAAAAGAATCAACCTGATTGATGATCCAAGACGAGACGAACTTGGCCAGAGCCATCCACTTTGACGTGATCGTTGTTGGAGGTGAAGAGATCGTTGAAGTTTCCAGGGGCAGCCTGGGAGACGATCACCATGGTGGCGATCAACACGCAGAGGGCCAGCCTCCCCATTGCCGCGAATGCGAATCTCAAAAGAGCCACACACAAGATATTCCCTTTGGAATTCCCAAGAGCGCCTTCTTCTTCCTCGCTGTTGCGTTCTTCGATCGATGTTCCAGCTCCACGGCCCGGCCACGCTTATAAACGCTGGCCATGCTGGCGCCACGTCACCATGGCAATGATGACATGTAGTATGGGTTCGTAAAGGTAAATTGGTTCAAATTTTCTTACCCCTTGCCCAGGAATTTATTCCCACAGGATGGCATGAGCTGGAAAATAAAAACAAGACAATCGCCACGCCGGGATTCGTCCAGCGTGTTACGTACGAGCGTACGGCCCGTGCTTAACGTAAGCCCAGGGTCTTTGTTTAGGCAGCTTCTTTGCTGCCAGCTGCGCGGTCAAGATATTCTCCAGCGCTTTTAAGCAGGTGGAGATAACCCGATTACTTTAATCCCAAAGTATTATTACTTTAATCGGGGCCCGGGGGCCTGCCTGCCGACGACGTAACACACTGGAAATGTTAACAATAGTGCCTGGATTCGAGCCTGCCACTGGTGCCTGCAGGGCCAAAAAAATTCCCCTTAAATATTCCAGGAATTTCCAAATCTTACCGCTGGACTGGCGGCTTGGCTGCCGCTGAGCTGCCACCTTTCTTTCGTAAGCAGTGCAATGATTGGTGACAAACCTTGACTAGCATAGTTTTTACGTGTGCATCTAGTTTAGAGGGGAAATAAAACTATATTTGGTTTTGGAGGCCATGGTTCTTGATGATTCAAATTCGAGATTTAAATCTCGCAGGGAAGCTTCCTGGTAACTTGTCATGCTCTGGCACACATATCATGGTGACTTGCCATGCTGTGGCACAGATATCACATTCAGGCACATATACACATACGGCATGGTGTGTGTGTGTTGAGCCTGCAAAACGCAGTAAAAAAATAAAGTAAAGTGGGTTTGTTCACTGCAAAAGCAAGCCTGTTTGTTGTCACGGACGCTTTCACCACGGCTGGAAATGGGCTGGAGGGGTGTGTGGTAAAAAAAGCGGAGATTTTAATCCCAGAGGGTGAATTTTCAAACACAGGCTGGCTAGCTGTGCTGTCGGGTGATCTGATCTCCTCGGAAGGTTCATCGCATTCAAAGACCGGATATTCGGAGAGCTTAGGTCAGAAAAAAACTTTCCCTGGGACCAACAAACGCGGTCGTCACCTTTCCAAAAAGGTGTCCCCAACCTTATAAATTCTTTTCGCGTCCTAGCTACTTACATTGTTGTTGTTGGTGTGCTGGATTCAGCTCATTCTGTCAAGAAAGGGACACTCCACTGCACTGTTCATGTGAGATGTTCTCTCTCTTTCTCTTCTATTTCATAAATCAATCAATCAATCCGTCCCACAACTTGTCTTTGGCAAGGCACAGATCGATCTTCATTCCCAACCATGCGAAAATTTCTCCCCAGCTATAACGCTAGAGACGACTGGGAAAGGGACCGGACTTGAGAGCTTGATTAAAATTTCTTGTCATTGTTTGATAGATCCCTTACGATTATTGGTTCCACCCAAATCCAGCCTGGTTCCCATATCCTCACTCACGGGGGATCTTGACCAGCAAAACCAACCTAGAAACTTTATAGTGATTGGCAAACAAATTGTTTGTTGTACAAAAATTACCATAATTTAAATAATACATTTTAAACTTGATGGCTATCAAAATCCCACTACACTAATATTAATATACAGTAAGGTTTAAGTGTATGGCTACGATACTATATACTAATATTAACATAGTGGGATTTGATAATTGTCAGATTGATTGGTTTTTGGGTTAATTAATATATATATTTTTATATTCTACATTGGTGAAGATGAGGGGTAGCTTTAATTGTCTCTAAGGATTTACTTTAGATCTAGCTATAAGCAACCAAAGAAAATGACTTGAAAAACAATCTATAAAGTTCAAATATAAAGGGAAAGGGCCATGAATAAATATGCACCCCTTTTTTCAATCAATTAAGGGTCTTTGGGTTTAAATAATACTAGGCTAGATAACCTCCCGGGAAGTTTAAATTCAAGAGCTTACATTTGGTATTAAAGAGGTCTTGGGTCCAACTTTTTTAGTTGGCTTAAGGAAATTACACCATATGTTGAGATTAACATCTGGTAGGAGAGGGTCTCAAGTTCGACTCTATTAGTTGGGTTAAGAGAATTATACCATATGTTGAGATTGACATCTAGCAAGTCTAGTTTACTTTCGGCTAAGCTCAATTCGAAAGGTAGGGTGTCAAGAGAGAAAGGCTCTCGGGAAAGCTATGTGTGAGACACAAAATCCCTATTCCCCAAAGTGGAGCCGGAAGGGTGCCATGTGGTAGTGGCCGAAACAAAAGCCAAACGAGCGTAACACATTTGGACCAAAAGCTCCGACTGGAAAGGTCGAGAGCGGGAGTGGAACTCCCAACAAAGTGCTTAAGGAATGAGCCCGAAGCGAGCAATAAGCGAGGCTCTAAAAATAGACCCAAAAGGACCAACACAGGACACATAGAAGTGTCCAAGATGGAGTCCGAGATGGACTCGAGATGGAGTCTGAGATGGAGT